TATCATCTATCTTTCTTGTAGGATGGGCAAAAGAGGAGATGTGCGACGCTAATTAAACCTCTAAACAAAGGTCAGATTTTGTACTACATCAGCGATATTTTGTTTCCAGTGTTTGAGATGTTCATTTACATGGATAATTTGGTAACTTTTGATATACGGAAATGAATGTTTGGCTTGTGTTAACATCAGATCAAATTAAAGGAGATGTTCCAGAAACTTCTGAAGAACAAATGGAGAGACCCGCACAGAAGGTGAAAGACGATGTTTCTGAAACTACTGAAGAACAAATGCAGATACCCACACAGAAGGTGAAAGGCGATGTTCCTGAAACCACTGAAGAAAAAATGCAAGGACCCATGCAGAAGTTGAAAGGCGAGGGAGATCTTCGGTTGAATATCATGGAATCAGATATGAAAGAAGCTGCTGTCTTGGACTTGGAAGAGCTAATCGTCAGGATTCAGTGGCTCAAAGCCATGTTAGCTCAAGATGAATCTAATTCTTCAGAGAAATCTTCCTGGAAATATGTTGATTACCGTCCATCCTCCTCAATGTGAATGTCATAGTGATAGGTATGCAATTCTAAACGCCTTTCTAATCATCTCTGTCTTTGTCTTGTCTTCGGACTCGATGGAAAAAACTTCAATAGTGTTGCTACTAATGGAACCATTGAATAGCTGTGTAAAGAGAAATGAAAAATATTATGTTACCTTTCAGCTATCTAAAGCTGTTTCAATTTGTTCAGGCTTTGATTTTTAAAGCTTTTCATTTCTTTAGAGCCATACGTATAGCACTCAGTTTTTCGATCTTCTGGATTGCGATTTTGTTCAGGTGAGATATGTGTTTTTATTTGTCCCATGATCAACCATTTCTGATTGGTTTCTCCACTATTTCTAGAAACATTGACAGTGCTCAGGTGGAGCATTTCTTATGTTTATACGCTTAAGAAGATTACAAAAATGAAGATGACCCTGTTTTTGAAATGTCTCTCTTTCAGGTATTTTTGGTTTCCTTGTTGATACGCCGCAGCATTTTCCTCGGTAATTACATGGTAAATGTTTTTTGGTTTGACTTTGTGCTCGGAATTGGAAACTTATAGTAAGTAATTTCAGATGCTTTTGAACAATAGAAAGCTACAAATATGGCTACAAACCAATCTGTCCTCCCAACTTTTTGCAGTATGAGGAATTGACAAACTAAAACAACATCGCTCCCTATAATTAGAGACCAAACAAGAATAATTGAAATGTTAAATTCATCAAAGATCAATAAGAATGCTAATAGGATTGGAAAATTTTTACTCTCAGGGATATGCTTTGCGTAAAGAATTGTAAATCTTGAAACGGTTATGGAAGAACTAGAATTTTTCATTGAACTAATATACATGACAAATTACAGAGGTGACCAAAAGATCAAGATTAACATTTCTACGACTGAGCAAAACCAAAAACTACAGGGAGCATATCTTAAAAACATAGCTCCACCAGAATAAGCCAAAACATAGGCCACCGGAAGTAACTAATCCGAACTAAAACTAACCAAAACCGCATCCTATACAAACCAGACAAGGACAGCAAACACAAGCCTAAAAACTAGCCAAGATGCATCCAAAGCCCAAAAACGAGTC